GGAATTAGTAATACATGATTTAGTTCCCCTATTTGCCATTTTTTGATCTATTCTGACTGGACTATATTGAATTATTACAGATCTAAGAGTCATAGGGAATAATCTAGCGAAAGTCCGAACTCGATACATGACCTAGAGAATGAAATATTTTGATTTCTATTATATTGAGCCCGCAGTTTTTCCTGTTTTCGATTCACTAGAAGTCCTATAACTTGTGTTCCTGTTGAACCAGTTTCCTGAAAATCAATAGCGTCCGTCCTTAATGTCCAAAGTACCCGTACACCAAATTTCAACACAATGGGCCACTTTTAAAAAGAGTTAGAGCACACACGGACGGACGGACGACAATCTATAAAGGATCTGAGGATCCTTAATAATAGGTACGCTAAACTACAGGTAACACGAATATAATTTCATTTCTTAGGAAGGCCCGTTAAAAGAATGACGAATGGAAACATTTTGATTCCATTTATTAACAATCTACTCGTCATCTGATCGTGATGCCGTGATTCTTCACTCATTTGCAGAGCATATTTTAAGCTATAAAGTAGGCGGCAAGTGCCGCCTAGTAAAGACTATTTGTCGCCTAGTAAGTAGTCTGTAAGAATACCAGTGGCAAAACTGTTCATCTATCTTTGAAAAGCAATTTATTATTGCCAATTTCATAGTCATTGGGAAACTGCAAAGTTTACCATAAACAACCAGAACCACTAAGTTTGGCACTTAGAATATAAAAAATTATCATATTCTATAAAACTGTTGAAAAATTTCCGGTTGGTGTTCTCTTCTAGAGGTGTCCGAGTGCGACGATTGGTGCCCCCAAAAAAATTTGCACTGGAGTGGAGCCCCCAATATGACACACCGATACTGGGCTCAGTGCCGCCTAGCGGAGGTTATTTAAAATGTGATCTGCTCATTTGCCACAAAATGCTGCGAACAAACCAAACGCGCCGAATTTTTTCCAACAAACATTTTGCTGTTAAAGTTCGGGCTCTTTGCTCTTTAGGTCTGCATTCATTTGCAACAAAATGCCTAACTATATTCAAAGCTCTAACGAACGCGCGCGCTGTAACAAATTTGTCGTCGGTCCCAAACAAAACAAAATGCGCCAAACATTTTCTAATTTTGATGGGAACGCAGCAGCAGCGAATACCGCAAACTCTTCAAAGTGCCTGAATTTTCCCAGCAAAATGTTTGTTGGGGAAGGTTATTTATTACCTTATCGAATTTAGTATATAAACCTTCTTTTATTTAAAAAAATATTGACTTAAGGTACCTTTACACTATCATACTTCTCATGTGATTTGTCATATGATAAGTAACAAGCATTTAGATGTGTGTTTACACTATACTATTTTTGGTATTATGGCTGTCATAAGACAAATCATAAGGAAATAATATGGAAATAATACGTAAATAGTGGAATAGGGATGTTTCTATTTCTGCATGACAAATGACATGACTTATTTTAAATATCCAAGTGATCCCGCCCTTTTATGGTTACTTTTCGCATTTTGCTGTTGTACTTATCTAAAAAAGCTGAATACTTGAGTAAACCAGTAAACTTTTGATTATATCATTGATTATAGGTGTGTATAATCAATGATTATAGGTATATTAGTTACCAATGAAAGAATAAATTACATAAACAATAAATCGAGCAATATATTTACGAGTATATTGGTATTTGGTTGTCTGGTTCTAGTGGTGTTTTCAGACACACATTGTCAAATAGTGTCTTGATTGGTAATTAACCCTACAAATGTTTGGGGTAATCTTTCAAATAAGGGTACACTCCCCCCTTAATGTCAACCAAGGGGACGACTCTGTTAGCTTTGTTAATAAAACGCATAACGTAATTATTTTTAAAATAATTGTTATAAGTACTTTTTTCGTTAAAAATGTACTATGATTTTTGAGGCACAAGAAGTTCACCTATTTGTGCTTTACAGGTGATTTTTTTGAGTTCTAAGTTAGCCTGAAGGTACTTTTTTGTTGAATACTTATTGTGATAATTAGCGATTTATTTTAATACAGAAGTTAACCGCAGAAAATTCTTATTTGCCAATTTATTTAAAATTTTGCGGGATCCCGCAAATACCGGGATCCCGGGGGATTAACATCTAACGATCCCGCAAATACCGGGATTGAGATTTTGCTGCGGGATTGCATTCCCTAGCTGTAACTTTTGAACTAGTAGCCCAATCTTGGAACTGTTTGAAATTATGGATTCTACAGGCCACATTCTATAAGAAAATTTTTTTTCCGGTCGATCTGAGACAATTTTTTTTTCGGGGCTCAAAAAAAGGCAGTGTATAACCTTCCTTTTTTACCAAAAATCGACTACACCAAAATTTCTCGGGAAAACACTTTTTCTTATTAATTTTGGTGCGTAGAATCCAAAACAATTCGTACTTTTTCGATCAGACTTCTCAATCAAAAGTTATAGACTAGAAACCAATTTCGAAAGAAAATTCAAAGGGCTGTAACTTTTGAACTAGTAGCCCAATCTTGGAACTGTTCGAAATTATGGATTCTACAGGCCACGTTCTATAAGAAAATTTTTTTTCCGGGTCGATTTGAGACAATTTTTTTTTCGGGGCAAAAAAAGGCAGTGTATAACCTTCCTTTTTTTCCAAAAATCGACTGCACCAAAATTTCTCGGGAAAACATTTTTTCTTATTAATTTTGGTGCGTAGAATCTAAAACAATTCGTACTTTTTCAGACTTCTCAATCAAAAGTTATAGACTAGAAACCAATTTCGAAAGAAAATTCAAAGGGCTGTAACTTTTGAACTAGTAGCCCAATCTTGGAACTTGGAACATTTTAATTTAGAGAAGTTATATATGGTTTCGTAACTTCTTGTATTAAAGTCATATGAAAAACCTGTCAAGTGTAAAGTAAAACATTAAAACTCTTACGAAAAATATGTTGGTAGTAAATATCATATAACATATCATATAAAAAATCATGTGAGATATATTATAGTGTAAAGGTACCTTTAGAATGTCGCTTTAAAAAAATATTTACTTAGAATGTTGCTTAGGAGATCCTAATCTGAATGTGAAACCCCATATGTATTTAAAGGCATTGAAGCTTTTGACAAAATCGCAACATACACAAATAAAAGAAACCTTTTCAACATTAAAGAGCCAAGAACAAGGCTACAATTATTTCCATTACTTACTTTTGTAATGTTTTCCAATGTATCGTGTCTAAGAAAATATGAAAGGTCGGAATTAGAAAAACCAAGTGAAAAACCCCCCAACGATATTTACACGAGATTTTCATTTTTCCAGTTTTTCGTCATTTTGTTTCACACCAATCTATTTTATTTATTTATTTATTTTACTGTAATTTACAACACTTTAATGTTGTATTCTTTCAATAAAAATGAGTTTCCATTCGAACTTTTCCAATGGAGTTCCCCTTATGGGATGGTTTTGTTCGTCCGTCTGTCTGTCTGTCGGTTCCTCATATAACTCGAGAACGAAAAGAGACAGCGATGTCAAACCTTCGGCGATCGATTTCTACGAGTTCAAGGATCACTGCTATTCAATATAAGCTGTCGCAAAAAATTCCCTTACTGAAATCGTATGCGCTTCTTCGTATCTTGTTTGTCTTATCAATTATGTTATTACCTTCAAATATGGAGGAAACACAGCGGTCGTCGCGTTCATGACTATACTTTCAGTATAAACCCACTGTATATGTCCATGACGTACAAATGACATCCGTTATTTACGTTTAGGGTTACCCGATGAAATTCGTAAAGACAAATATTTATTTCCTTATTACACATTTATGAAGAGCAGTGTTAAGAATTAACTTTTTGTACTCATTGAATGGAAAGATAATGTTTCCAAGCATCCTCGATGCACGGGAAAACGACTTTCCCGCATCGCGGTGTTTTTTAGTTTCCGCTGGACAGAAGGGGTTATCCGCGTTCTTCAGTTGGTAGTACTTATTGAAGTCAACGAACGTCATGTCATGGTTAACTGTCATCTGCTGTAAAATCAATTAAACCGTTGGTTGAGGGTATTTAGTGCGATTAATCGGAAACAGACGTACACTAAGTTTTACGTAAATATATAAACAAGAACTTATAACGCAATCAAATTATTTTTCAGAATTGGAACTCAAGAAAAAGTAAAATTTATTGTTAAAACGTCTTAAAATGTGACCAGTGATATTCTGCAACTATTCGCATATGCAGTTTAAGAAAGCACGTCATATTAACACACACAAAGCTTCCAAGGATTTTAAATGTAACGAGTGTATTTACGCAACTCAAGATATTCAGTGCAAACGATGCAATGCCGTGACCAGTAGTAGCACTCATTGCAAAGGCAAAATATGTATTAACCAAAGATGTGGAAGTTTTAAATGTGACCAGTGCATTATTAAAAGTGGGTAGTTACAAAATTATGTTACCAACCAAACATATGATTGTGTTACCAACTCATGATTAAAAAAAAAGCTAATTTACAAAACTTTATTAATTTTGACCTTTTTTTACGCAATTCGTTACAAAAAATATTGTACCTAACTCTTTCGGAAAGAATTTTCCCGCATTCGCACTAAATGCAGCACTCCCTACGGTCGTGCTGCAAACAAAGTGCTCATGCGGGAAAATTAACTTGCCGAACTTGTTAGGTAAATAACTATTACGTTATTGGTGTGTTGTGCAGTGGTATCTTTACGCACGGGCACAATGGGCTCGTGCCCACTGCCCAGGGGCCCCCCGGGTTAAGAGGCCCCCGAGACGAGACGAGTGTTAGATATATACTTAATTACAAATTCCAAATGTAACTAAAAGAAATTAGTAATAGGAGGTTTTCTTTGTTCATATTTGTAAAATTAAACTGTAACTTCCTTTAAAAACAACAAACAAGACCCTACCTCTTTCAAGATACACCGTTCAGCCCCGTAAACGAGTCTTCATTTTCTGAAAAATTGCATATAGACCGAGAGATAACGACAGATTTTTTGCGATGATTAGTAAACGTCTGTCACCGCAATTTTTTTTAGGTGAGTTACAACTAGCGTATAGGTATCATACGTCTGTTGAGCGGTTAGTTCTTTTTTTTAATTAATTTTTTTTAATTTTGCTCGCACAACAAACAAAAGTTTATTAATAAACATCTGCCATCAATTTTAAAATAACATTGGAGAGAAAATATAATAGGGCGCTAGCACATTGACAGACGTTTTTCCTTGTCTATTCGCTTGGTAGCATATATTATGGAATGTTTCAAAAATTGAAAAAAATTTTCATTGGTAAAGACTGTCAATATGAAATATCAAAAGTATTAATTAATTGTATTAATGGCATACGATTATTAATACATTTTTTTTGGTGTGTAGTTAAAATTTGAAAAATTACTTAAAAATAGAACTCACGCTGACCGGCCAACAGATGTGTGATATACGTTTATACGCTAGCTCTTGGTCTAATATACCCAGACCGGGCGCAAGTGTGCTTAGGTTACTGCTCATTAATACCTATAAAAATATAAGAGGAATATAGAAAAAGTTACAGGAACGTTATATACGTTTTTTGTCGATACCCATATTTATTTATTTTAATGAGAACGTTTTTTCTGAATTCTGTATCTTCTAAACAAAAGGGCTCCATGCATTTTTGTGCCCAGGGCCCCCGATTGGTTAAAGACGGCTCTAGTGTTGTATCGTGACAGAATTATGATTCTAACGTTACCAATAGGTGATCGTTGCCACGATGCGTCTTCGAATATGAATGGGACATGCGTGCTTTTGTCCAGCTGCGACCATGCTAGAAATGCTCTCAAAATTGGCTATCGTCCACAAATATGCGGTTTTCAAGGTATGGATCCTATCGTGTGCTGTATTGAGAGAACATATTCTTCTGGAACAGCCAAACAAGACGTTGCGCAATCCGGCGTTAAAAGTAGACAAAGTAAGTGTATCTATGTAAATATACTTGGTACGCGACTACCACCTTTTTGCAGAATGTGTGGAATACCAACAGTACGTTTACGAAAACGTATCAAATCCACTTATTGGAGAAGGCGTAGTACGTGTAGATCGATGTGGATGGAATGTTGGTCGTCTTTTAATAACTAGCAGAATTCAGCCAGAAGAATATCCGCATATAGTAATCGCCCAACTTGCAAACAAAGTTCTAAATTGATTCGGATTTTTAGGCATTAATTGGATATGAGGGTAAAAGCGATGAAACTCTTTGGTTATGTACTGGATCCCTTATTAGTGAGGAATTTGTGTTAATCGCTGCACATTGTGCCTATACTCCTGTTTGGTAAGTCAATTACAATGATTTGCTTCCTCATGGGGCACTTCATCAGTAAACTTTAGAATCAGCTGAAGGCAAAACCCCTAAAGAGCGTTTAAAAAAGCGGCAGAGCACCTCGGTGTGACCCCACGGAGTCATTGGAGTTGACCAATTTTCAATTGGCTTGTTACATGTCGTATATACAGTGATTTTTTTTAAATACATAGGAGTTTGCATGCAATGTAATTTCCCTATGTTCGATTAAAAAAAAAACACATCAATCTATGAGGTGTGCGCGGTTCACATTCCCAAATCGCGCAACTTGTGTGACTATGAACAGCAACTCTAATAGTCTTTATGATGAAGAGCACTCGGTAAGATTTTTTTAAAGAAGCCATGTGAGGCCATAGCAACTTTAGGATACATTTTTCTTAAACTTACGATAACTTGACCTCACAGGCCACGCACTGACACCACAACTCATTGTGAACCAACCTTCAATTATTTGTAGGTCATGTGCACCTGGTATTCTACTAATTTGATCTATTCAATACATAAATGAAGAAAATAAATACCGAAAACAATTACAATAAATGTTCGAAGTGTCCTCCTTGACATTATAAGCAATAACCTAACCGATTTCGTAATTAAATTGGACGGCGGTATTTTTAAAAATGTGACAGCTGTCAATTGTATCTACTACTCATTTGAACTACTCAATAGATTGATGTGATTTTTTTAAATCGAACATAGGGAAATTACATTACATGCAAACTCCTATGTTCGCATTTAAAAAAAATTCACTGTATGTTAACACTGTGCAAAGTTTGAACCGAATAAGTTCAAGCGTTTGACAGTTATCGTATTCACGGACAGACGGACACCATCGAGTCCCCTATAAAGCTTTCATCGCTTTGCTCTACCGCTTAATAAAGCTTATAATGGCCATTAAAATTAAGCACATTACCTTTTGTTATGTTCTGTAAAGTACAAAGTTTACACGAGAAATTGAAATTAGAAAATTAATGCTAAATACATGTCTACTCGCTGAAGGCTTATGTAAAAATGGCGCTACATTCTACAATGAACTTTCATTAACCTCAAACTGCACCATAAATCGAAAATTAATTATGGATGTTTTGTCTACGGATCAGCTAGATCCTCTCGATTGTTACAGCTTAACAAAATTCAAAATCGTGCTTTGAGACTATGCTTAGGTGCATTCCCTACATCACCAAGCACTAGCCTCCACATAGAGGTGAACGTCATATGCCTCTGCAATATAGAAGAGAGAAATTATTAAACAACTATGTAACAGAGAATCACATGATAGTCACCGTGATTATAAGATCCTCTTTAAAAATGTTACTGCATACACCGACAGACCCACTATTACTTGTCCACTATCTGTAAGAGCGCAGGAAATCCATCCAGGTTTGTGAACTGAAATATGTAATACCTCACAATAAACCGGAAATTCCCCCTTGGAGAGATTTTTCAATAAATGTCGACACTAGTCTGTTGCAGTATGATAAATATGGCACTAACCCTAAATTGATACATGCACATTTTAATAATTATCATCTCTGGAATGAGACACCACAACATCATATACACGGATCGTTCTAAAACTGAAGATGGCGTGGGATGTGCATTTGTTGTTCAGGGTGAACACTATAACTGGCGTCTTCCTGATTTAAACTGTGACAACGATATGATAACACAATGGTATCATTCATCTATCGTATACCTACAAAATCAAGGAAAGCATATTACCTTACTATGGGTTAGAAGTTTAGAACATACAGGGTGGTGACTTGTGTAACGCATCAGGGATTTCAATGTAAAATTCATAACATGCGATTATAGGCTCCCCAAATTATTTTAGAGCAAAAATGTATTAAGGTTTTTTGTGGGAAAAATTTTTTACGTCAATCAACCGTATTAGTTTTCAATTTTTTGCATAATAAAGACGGAAAATTGGAAAAATAAAACCCCCATCTTTTTCAATAATCTGTGATGCCATGGAATTTTATAATACAAAAACTACGCCAATATCCGTCATGCCATGGAGTGTCTGCTATAAAACAAATCAAGTTCTATCAAAAAGTATTATATTCAGAACAGCGAATTCAACATAAAGAAAGACCAAATTACTAAAAGTGGTTTCCTAATATAACAATTTACAATAAATGTTCGAATAAGTCACCATTAACTGCAAAACAGTAACCAAGTATATCATAAAATCTATTTCGAACTGCTGCTAATTGATAACTTGATATCTTTTTGTTTTAGAAAATTCCATGGCATCGCAGATTATTGAAAAAGATGCGGGTTTTATTTTTCCAATTTTCCGTCTTTATTATGCCAAAAACTAATACGGTTGATGGGCGTAAAAAAATTGTTCTACAAAAAATTTTAATACATTTTTGCTCTAAAATAATTTGGAGAGCCAATAATCGCAAGTTATGAATTTTACATTGAAATCTCTATGATGCGTTACGCAAGTCACCACCCTGTATACACCCACTATTATATTATGCCTATAATTGATGGAAATAAAAAAAGCATTGCTGTTGGGACTAACAACTTAAAAAATAAAAACAACGGGCGAAACAAAAGAAAGAAGAGGTGATAGCGTAAGAACAGTCCGAACTATAATGTGGTGGCTGTACCATTACCAGTTACACGAAGTCGTCGAAGATCTGCTATAGACGCAACCGCTTTGCTCTTGGATTTTCAGCTCGGACCGTAAGAAAATTGTTCATGACGATTTACGTTTACATTCTTATAAAATAGTGCAGGCTGTGAATCCTAGAGATTATCCTATCCGCATTAGCTTTTGTGTGTACATATTAAACTTATTTGAAGATGACTCATTGCTTCCCAATAACTTATGTGGATAAGCGATGATGATCACTTTCACCTTAGCGGATATGTCAATAAGCAAAATTGCCGCTATTGAGCTGTTGTCAATCCTCAAGAACTTCAGGAACTACCTTTCCATTCGGCTAAAGTGATTGCCTGGTGTGCGATCTCTTCAAATGGAATAATTGGTACGTATTTTTTCAAGAATGATGATAGCCGTGCAGTAACAGTAACGTCAGCGCGCTATGTTCGAATGCTGGAAAACTTCCTCATTCCAGTACTTCGACGTCTTCCAACGCACCCAACCACATTTTTTAACAAGATTCAGCAACTATAACAGTTAGAATGTCGATGCACCTTCTGAGAAACATTTTTCCGAACCGCTTGATCAGTATAGGAATGGTGATATACAATGACCTCCACGATCACCTGACCTAAGCTTTTGTGATTACCTTACCACCAAAGATTATTGAGACTCGTCCAAGAACCGTCCAAGACTTGAAAGTTCGGATAGAACAAGAAGTTCGTACAATAACAGCGGCGTGTCAGTGTATGAGATGTATACAATGTGGACAAAATGGTGGTCACATTTTTACTGCATACTATGTCATATTCAAAAACTTGTTTTCATACTTGTATACAACTTTCCATCGATTTGTTGCAATATATGAGGTATGACAACAAAAATGTTTCTGTGTATTTTTTAATCCCAGAAAAAGTGTCGTTTTACTGCCCCGTCTGGTAGGGTATATAGGGTAGGCACGTAGGCTCTAATCGATTTGTATACTTCGTTTTTCTTTAATGAAAGACCTATATCCAAAATTAAGCATGAACAATAACAATTTGTTTTTCCTGCACACGCCTTCAGCAATGTTATACTTTTTGATATACATTTATTTTTGTAGGGGTGTACCTAAACGCGTACGAATTGGTAACCACCAAATAAGCACCAGTGAACATAGTTCCGAGGTACAAGACTTTACTGTAAAAGAAATTCTTAATCATCCTGAGTTTAAACATCCCGCTTATTACAACGACATAGCATTAATAAGGCTAAATAGAAAAGTTCGCTTAGATGCATACTCGAGGCCAGCTTGTCTTCATACAACATTTGACATTCCAGTTCGGAGAGCGAGTGCATTGGGCTGGGATCACTCTGAATCCTTTGAAAATTCCAATAAACATTTACGCAAAACAAGTTTGGATTTTGTTACTAATTTGAATTGTAATGATTCCACATATATCAGCAAAAAAAGATTAAGAAAGGGTATTGTGACTGATTCCCAGGTATGTGCCGGCAGTCATGGAAACAGTAAAGATGTTTGTGAGGTACCTAACCGCACAATGTAACACAATTGGATGTTTATCTTTTTTTGTTTATAGATAGTTACCGATGGTCCTCTTCAAATTATTGATCCAAACATCTACTGTATGTACTCTATAGTTGGAATTAAGTCATTCGGACGAGCTTGCGGGGAAATTCTGGAGATACATACGAGAGTATCGAACTATATTGAATGGATAGAACAAAACGTGTGGCCATAGCGCGTAAACATATTGTTATGCAATATCTGTAATGCAAGGAGCTATCGTTTGTATGAAAAATTATGTGTAATTGTTGGCTAATATAATAAATAATATATAATATAATAAAGAAAGAAACCTCACTCTGGCTATGAAGGATCCCATTTTGACCGGATACGAGGTTTATACAATTTTTATTATACGCGAACGTCAAGTGACATTTCCATGGCAATCATGGAATGACAAATAATCCGCCCACTTAATTAGAAATGTTTTCGAGTATAACGCCAATATGATTTCATTTTATTTCCCTTATTTTTAAATTAAATTGCAGGTATAATAAACAAGTAGGTATAAATTGTGCACAACACTTGTATGGTTGGTAGAAATTAATTCCTTTCGTTGAGAACCTTTCATTAGAGTACCATGAAGGATAAAATTAGTCCCACTCCCCCCCCCCCTGTAACAGTTGTTTTAAAATAATATTAACATTTCTGTCCATGATTGATGTACGACTCCATGTAGGTAATAGGTTATTTATCAAGGGTGTACACCCTTGATTTCTGTCCATATTTCAATTTCCACCTGTATATTTTCTAAATTTTCTCGAGTAATTGGATGCGACCAATTTCTAGTTACTTTTGCATTTCTGTGTTTGTCTCTCCGATTTAACTTTTCTTCTTGTCGTTAGAGGACATTTAGTTTGTTTTGCGTTTGGAGGAAGAAGTTCCAGATCGCGATTTAGATGCTTTACCAATTATCATCCTCATTAAACCAAACTAGATTCAACGGTGAATCGTTTACGTTGATAGTACCGTTGATGGTCTGTGGTAGTACCGATCAAAATGTTTCAAATAGGTATTACATTTATGTAACTTACAAAAATTACGGTTTTTTAAATAAAAAACGTAAGACGTAAATTTCATAAAAGACATAAATTACATAGAAAAACCGACCTCTTGTAAGTTACGCGTAATATAACCGTTTTTTATGTAACTTACAAATCGTTATTTTACAATCCACATCACTACCTCATTTCAATTGTAATTCTATTAATTATACTTGTCGTTGCTTAGCGGTACGAGGTGTCACATAAATTCAGGGGTTGTTGGTGGGTTAAATTTGTGTTAATCGTTCATGTGAAGATTTCATTTTTTTTGTATTTTGGTTAATAAACAATAATTTTCCTTGTGGGTCAATTATTGACTCTTTTTATACTGAAGTTACCTTTCCTAATTCCGGTGGCTCTAGATAAAATTGTTGGTGGAATTAGGTCGCGCCTGAAAGACTTGAATCGAAGCACCAGTAAGTATTAGCAAAGAGTACCCGTATTAGTAGCGGAGATTTACTTGGAATCTTTTGTAATGATATGTTGTCAAAGTTTTTAATTCACTTACCTACTACCCTGAGTAAGAGCATATCTTTCTACGCTGTTAACTATTTAGCTAACGGAGCTAGCTGGCCGATTAGCGGCGTGTGTTTATTTCAAATTGCACTTGGTATTTTATAGTGCCCTGCATTCTAAGCTTGCGCGTTATACCCCCCTCCACCCCGTACTTTGATAAGATGACAGAAAGAAGAGCAGTATAGTTGGTAGAAAACGGTTCCTTTCGTTGAGCTTGAGACCTTTCATTAGAATACCATGAAGGGTAGAACATGTGTTTACCCCCCTAAAGTTCAAATTGGCACCACTAAAGGTCTGAGACTAATTGGTTATCGTATGTAAAAGTTATGCACGTTTTACTTTCAAAAACAGCATCTCGGGAAATAACTCGTGGGGAGCCCCCTTTTAGACAGCGAAATTTGTTGCCCGTCTGGCACACCTAACACCTTCAAAATATAGGCTATCTGCTGCAAAAAATTCCAGGACTCTAGTACCATTCCCCTAGAAGTAGTTCGAAACGGTAGAAGTGGGCCGGACGGATGGACGGACGGACGGACAAAACACAAACAATAGCACTTTTTTTTTTAATTCTTAAAAAATGCGCTAAAAATACTATAAGAAACGCGTGTATAATTGGCCTTTAAAGCACTTGCAACGTTGAAAGGTATCGATATGCCAGCTATTCAGTGCCGAGTATCGGGTATTATTTGGTTGCCGGTGGAAAACAATTCGAGCGCCGATTGTAATCTTATACGTTTGTATCTGATTTGAATAAATTTGTTGATTTAGAAACAATTTCTACAGTACTGTGGTAAATGATTCGCGAGGAAGCTATAACTGAAACGCGCAATTTTTTTTCTATTTCCTCCAATAAAGGCAATATTATTATTAATTTATTATTATACGTTTTCGCTATGGCCCATTTTAAATAACTCAACGCCTTTACATTGTCGTATCAAAACACCCTGTATACTATTTGCGCATGCGCAATGGCAACTTTCTTATTTATGAAAGCAGTTAAATCAAATATCATGTGTAGGCACTTTGAATGAAACTAAAACTAATACCGGTTTCAAAATTACTGTTAACGCATTCTGTATGCTTTATTTATTAAGGTATTTGATGAAATTTCTAATATAGACAATGCACAATGCTATTTACGAAAACATTTAAAAAAAGTTTCATATGTAGACACTTCGAATGAAAGTAAAACTAATGCCCATTTCAAAATTTGTTTTTATTTGTACACGCTAGAAAACATATTTTTAGTACGTTTTTCCTTACTTGTGGATACTAAATAGAATTATTTCAATATTTTCTCAGCTTCCACAACTTCACTATAAATCTGGATTGAATAATTTCCTGAAAACAAAAGTTAACAGGAGGTTGAAAATCAGCATGTAAAATCATATGGCCAGTCTTAAACAAAAAAAACTCACTGTATACGGTTTCGTCATGGAATAAACGGTATTATTATGGTCGGTGTTTCTCAGGTCTAGCCTAGTTAACTAATCGCACGGATTAAAATCAAGTACCTAACGATTAGTGTCTGTGTCTGTACGCCGCTCGTCTGGTCAAGTTTTGTTGAGTCCTAAATTTTATAATTTAATAAATAACAGTAATTAAATTTTTAAAAAAAACACACATTAAAGAAAATAGGAATAGTATGTAATTCATACTTAACAAAATAGCTATTGATGGCCACAATAGCCAACGCTATTTAAAAAAAGTTTAGCAATTTCATAAGTGGCGTTGATTTATTATGTGTGTTTGTTTGGCTTTGCGTTTGGGTTGAATGCGAGTAGAGTGTGATAACGTGGTGTGTTTCTGAGAAGAAAGAGTTTTGTGTTTTTTAACTGCTCGGACGTGTAACTATTATTATTATTATTATCGGTGTTTCTTGTGAGAACTCAGGTCTAGCCTGGTTAACTAATCGCACGGATTAAAATCAAGTAACGATTAGTGTCTGTGTCTGTGTCTGGTGAAGTTATGTAGGGTCATTAAAAAAAAAAAAAAAAAAAAAAAATCACACACGTACATTGGACATCTAGGGATAATGTAATTCGTACTTACCAACATACCTATTGATGTTATTATTATTATTATTATTATTATTATTATTATCGGTGACTAAAGCCTTGCCTTAAATGAGATGAGTCTTTAAGGACATTTGTAAAGGATTTTTTTAAGAATTATAATGGGCCTTTAAAGAGCTTTCACAATCATTTCCGAACTTTCAAACTCTCAAATCCGAAGAACATTTAAGCAACAAAAGAAGCTCTTTAAACGGGCCACCTACAGCCTGGAGGAGAGATCCTAGATACTTTACGCTTGCTAAGTAAACGTACTGAAAAACGTGCCATATTTAATCCAATAAATGTGCCACAACGCGGTTACCTCGAAGTAAATCAATTGAGAGAAGCTTATAGGTAGTACAAAGCACTTGAAATAAATAACGACTATCTTTGGTACCTATCGAATCATCGGTATATTTCCCCCTTCCCAAACTCTAAACGCAAAACAAGACCTCAAGTTGGTTTTTCTATTTAATAATAGTACTTGAAGAAGAAAGACGAAGTAATGGTGCTTAGTTTTTTTTTAGTTTTCCAATTTTTAGTGTTGTTGCATTACGGAATTTGTCAGCTGGGTGTAGGCAAGTTGTTTTTTTAAAAATTTCTATTACTTAATCAGAACTTTGCGTGTTTGTGAAGAGGTAGGTAGGTACTTACGTGCTTACTTCTACGTGAATTTATTGCGATAGTGTACGTAATTGTTTTTAGGAACGCAAAGTAAGTACAACTCTATTGCATTTTTTAATTATAGATTATAATTAGTTAATTACCTACCGAGTATCACTAGTCATAGGTCACGAATTTCTTAGTAGTAGTTGTGGTTCATCATTAATCATTATTCACTAGTATACGAGTAGATATTTTGTAATAGGTGTAACAGTAGGTGGGCTTTTGCGCTCATTTTGGCTTTAGAGTGCATTTCATTGTAGTAGTGTCTTCCACAGGAAATAAATAATGCTAATTGACGGCAGAGTATAAACGCACGAGTAGTCATAAATCAGATACTTCTTCAGTAATAATGGTCAATTTATAAATCAACTGGCATTTATAGGTTTATATTGTTAGAAAATGGATTCGTGATTTACTTTTAACGATGTCATGTAATCTAATGGCCTTCTAATAATTACCAAAACCAACAGGATTGCAAAACTGGTTAGTATAGTAGGTATACCATTATGTAGGGTACGACTAAGGTAGACAAAATCACGAAAGTCCTACAGACGGACCACGGACGTTTTTGTACGCTTTATGTAAGTGCATTCAAAAACGCGCATATAATAGGTACAAAATCCTGAATGTGTATCCACAAGAACGTCGCGTTTTTTTATTGAATGCACAATCATTTTGAATGACGCTCCTGATTTCTGCCGACGACAAAAATTTTGAGCGTGCACACTGCACACAAGTATAGTTTCAATGGCTGTAAATTGTGCGTTGCACATCACTAGCGTCGTAGATTATCAGGTAAGCTGCAGTGCTTTTATGTGTTATATTAATTTGATTTGCTTATTTCCTTTTTTAGTAATGTCTGATTGTAGAACACTGTCCCGCGAATCCCTGCGAGAATGTATTGAATTAAGTAATTCGAAGCAAAGAGTTATACTCTTTGTTCGAAGTGACCTCTTGTTACCCGATCTTAAAACTACTCCCTCTGTTATCTTGCAACAAGGATTTATGAATATATGCA